TATTATAATAAAGTGTCAGTCCTATATAAAAATGTAAACTAAATAACAATAAATCAAATCTAATATTTTGTGGCCTAGATTGGCACGCACAAAGTTATTTTTATTCTGCAGTTATTATTAGATGGTATAATTTAACAACTTGCTGTGAAAGGAGAGAAAGGAGATAATTATAGGACAGCAAAGAGACTGACAAGCAGAACAAACCTGTGCCACACGTATAAATTTAACTTCATTACATATAGTGGATCTGTGAGGGTACGTATTATACATCATTGCTACAGTTCTTCATGGTGAGAATATGAAGCAAAAATAATGTGATACTATTGTATTGTACCTGTTATTGATATATTATTTTATTATTGTCATTAAAAAAAATCTACATATATATGTCACTCATTACAGTAGCTTAAGAATGTATGTGATAATTACCTTAGGCACCGCTGCTGTTTACTAAACAATGAATGTGTGCCAACAATACCATAATGTCATTTAAAAGGACACTAATTTCAAGAGTTAAATCTTAAAAATACATTCAAGTACCCTAACTATTAACAAAAATGTATTGCATATGTGTATCACTCAGTTGTAGATCCTCGAATCATCTCTGAATTGGTGCTGACACTGTCCTTCCTTCTGGAGGGTGGCTACTTTTGTTTCCCATGGTTCCTGTGTGTGTTGTAAAGTAGTCACCACCCCAGCCTCACTCCCGTGATGAACTACAATCTCATGTTTAATTTACTTATTGGTATTGAGATTGCAGTTCATTGCAGCCATTGCAGTGTTGTAAAGTAGTCACCGCTCCTCTTACTTAATCTAGGCTTAAACCTCCCCATCCAGACGCTAATATACCTCTTCCCTATGGCAACTGGAAGAGGTAGGCGAACTCCTCACAGTACACAGCAGCGACGTAGGTGATAGAGCATGGGGTCAAAGCATGCAGCAGGGGGACACAGGCGTCTAAAACTCTGACAGGTGTTGAATGCTGAAAATTCTGATGGAGGCTGCAGGGAGTTTTCCCTAAGCTCAGTGAATGGGGTTAACTTCCTCATTCACTACTGACTTCCATTCTCCAATCATGAGCAAGCAAAAATCGGATATATAATTGCCCTGAAGTCAGTAGAGATTCACCTTATTCACTAAGCTAAGTTAAATTTTCCTATTTGCCTAGTAACTTTTCACTTAGTTTAGTGAATAAGGTGAAGTTGTGCTGACTTCAAACATCCAATAATGTTCGAACATTTCCTTGCACATGAATAGGTATTAATTGCAAAGTGACATTTCTCTTAGCTTCACCTGATTCACGTTGCAAAGTGAGCGTGCTCTATTCCTACATCAACCTAAATGTCATAATATACTTGACCAGAACAAACAATGCCAGACTAAGTATTTTTTCAGGGTAATAGAGGTGACGCTAAGAGAGTTGTTGCTTTGGCCGTCCAAAGTTGTGCACCTACCATCTTGAATAATAGAAATCCATACCAAGCAATTTGTTTCCCTTACATATACCGTTTGTCTTTTGTGATAAGATTCTTCGTGCATTGAGCTTGGTGTCTATTTATTAAGTAGAGATCGGATTATTCAACTTTCTTCCTACTTACGTTTTTACACTTTTACCCCTTTTGACTAATTTCTAAGGGGGTTTTTCACAAAGCTGCCATAGGCAGCCGAGTGAATAACCGAGCCAAAGTGAAGTGAGCCGAATGCTGTTCGGTTATTCACTTCTGGCTTGTACGGCTGATTTCAGCCGTACATTGGCTAAAAGCAGCCGTATATCAGCTGCCTTTTGGTCAGCCGAACATGCTCTGCAAGTTCGGCTGAGCCGGAGTGCAGAAGGAGTTCGACTCAGCCGAACCAACATTTGGATCAGCTGAGCTGAAGCTCCGGCAGCTCACTCGCTGCCATTTACCCCTATTCTCATAGGGCCCAAACGGCAGTAAGTGAATAGCCGAATGCCGCAGAGGTAGCGAGCAGAATAGGAAAATAGTTAAATAAAAAAAAATTAAAAAGTAGAAAAATTATTTCAAACATGTCAAGTGATTTGATTTATATATACTTTTGAAAAAATGTGGACAAAAAAAATCTTAGTTATGAAAATATCCATAAAAAGGCTATTCTATGGACAGTGTGGTAACCCACAACAATCAATCTTATTTGAGATCACTGCTGTCAGACAAAGAAAAAGATCAAATCTTATGCTACAGGTTAACACATTTCCCAGTCACTGCACTTTGTACCCCTCGCTAAATAAGCCCATGCATTTGTCTATGCAGATGCAGTATATTTTGTAATGAAATATATTTTGTAAATAATTGATTTCAGCATATTTTGAAAAATTTTATTTTCACTCTCTTTTAGGTGATGAAAGTTTGAAGGAAAACTATGTACAGGACAGTAAAATGGGCTTTGTCATTAATGCAATATATGCAATGGCCCATGGCCTACATAACATGCATTCGGTCCTTTGTCCAGGATACGTTGGACTGTGTGATGCAATGAAGCCTATTGATGGCAGCAAACTGCTTGACTTCCTATTAAAGAGCAGATTTTCAGGTGTCTCTGGAGAAGATATATTTTTTGATGAAAAAGGAGATGTCCCTGGAAGGTATAATTGGAGAGTATAAAAGTGTGTACTTGCTAAACTCCAGTTTTCTTGAAGAAAAATATTGTAAAAAAACCCTCCTCTTCAAGTGGACTTTGTATACTTTGCAAAAATGATGGTAAACCTTATTGCAGATCCATGCCAGCTTCTGTTCTGGAGGCACCGATGTAGGCATTAGCAGTACTTTTTATAACCCTGTAAAGTGAAAGTATCTTTTCTTTAAAGAAGAACTCTGGGGTAAAAAAAAAACCCACTACAAAGGTTAAGTACTCATTTGTGTCTAGGTAAAAAAAAATGTTATATTCATCCGAACCTTGGATCCGGCCAGCTGTGAAAGCTTTCCCTACGGTCTGTCTCCTCCCCAGATCATGCAAGGATCCTTAGATTACTGTAGAGTAGGAGGAGAGTAGCTGCAGGGATCGGTCTAAGAGCCGGCTCTGAGGATCAGGTGAGTAAAACTCTTTTTTAACCTACACTCAAATGAGCACTTAACCCTTGCAGTGAGGGGCTAGCCCCACTGCAAGGGTTTTAAATAGTTTTTCCTTGGAGTTCTGCTTTAACTTAGTGTATCAAAATGTGTAGGCTCAGCATTTATTAACATGAGCAAGAGTTTTGGAAAGTGCCCCTCCAAAGTTTAAACTTCAATTGCAGGAATGCCTGAAATTTGAAAGACTCTGTGCAGACTTATAGTAAACCACTAAAATATTGTGAAGAATGAAATGAAAATTCTGTTGTGTTTTTGTACATAAAGTAATGTTGCCATGCAAAGAAAATACTTTAAAAGTCTAAAAGATTTAGGGGTCTATTCACAAAGCTACCGAAGGATCTAGCCATAGCTTCGGCTGATCCTTCGGGTAGCCTCAACCCCAGGACCCCTTCGGTTCAGGGCTGCTGTACAGGCATATGCTTTGGCTCGACTGAGCCCAGGGGAAATTCGAAGCTGGCCATTGGTCGGCCGACAGCATGCTTCTGACAGCTGGGCGGAGCCAGCTGTCATCTCCGCCGGGTTCTGTGTGTAATGACAGAAGGCGTCCCTGGTTACCTGGTAACGCCTTCTGTCATTACACTGTGGCTCCTCAGTAAACTGGGAGCCTGGCGGAGCTGCTGTAAAATCACAGCAGCTCCGACGGGTTCTCAGTGTGTAATGACACATGGGCATCCCTGGTTACCACTTTCGGCACTTTGGGTCAGCCGAACATGCTGAGCATGTTTGGCCGACCCAAAGCCACCCGATGTACAGCTGATTTCAGACGATATACGGCTGAAATCAGCCGTACAAGCCTGAAGTGAATAGCCGAACAGTGTTCGGCTCACTTCACTTCGGGTCGGTTGTTCACTCTGCTGCCTACGGCAGCTTTGCGAATAGACCCCTTAGAAAATTATGAATGCCTCAAGGTTGAAAGTAAAAATTAATTTTTAATCAAATTAAACTGAAAAATGGCATATGTAGCAATTGTATACATTATATACATTTTTCAATGAAAATAGAGTTTTTCTTTAAGCCTATTGCTTGTTGATGTACAAATGATCACTTAGAAGTCATGTTTAGTGATAAGGATCATCATTACACAACTAGAGAGTTATATGGAGGAAATAAAAATAGTAATTCTGAAAATAGAAATTGTACCAACGGGGAATAAATAAGACTCGTAGTAAATATATCCTGTAATCTCCGTAGTGCTGTATAATTAACTATTGATAAATACATTCCCCTAAAAAAGCACATTAACCAAGATTTTTTGTAAATTTCATCTCATAGTTTTATTACTCCACTAAAAACTCCTACACCAGCATTAAAAATATCAATCTATCAATATATAAATAAATAAATATATATTTAAAAAATTGCATAGCCTGCGGACCCAGTTCATGCAAATATATATAATGCAGTTGTTAATTTTCTCATGATTGATGAATATAGTCAAGCTGTTCCACAAAATACAGAGTTGATAGATGTATTATTTATATTCAAGTATATCTTTGCATGCTATAGACATCTAAGCAAAAAAAATCTCCATTTATTTCTTCAGGAATACTGTCTATTTTGTATCTCAACGGTGGACAGCCTCTCGATGGGAAGAAATGGAGATTCTTCTGTGCATGCGTAGAACAAAGCTCAAAAACTCAAGCTCACATTTAAATGTACATCTGAGTCAAAGGAGTGACTTATCCTCTCTCTTCTCTCCCCTCCTTGTCTGTGCTGTTCAGACTGTTTAGTACAGTACATAGTTAAAATATATAAAACATCAGTTTAAAAACCTGAAAACTAAAAAAAATGACCCCAAACCACTATAGCTATAAATATTTGATGTCTGCTTTCCGGAAGCTCTAGGAGAGTGAAGCATCAGCAAACCTTCACTGTTGGTGTTCACTGATTTATTCAGGCTGCTAAACTAGTGACCAGAGCAGACTGCATGCCTTTCGGCTACAAAACATTTTAAAGATCCTACATTAACATCCCGGCCAACCTAAGTTTAAAAGTCTACTACCCTGATAAAGGTGGCCCCTGAACCTTGGAAACATGTCTGAACCTTTTTAGCATCTAGCAATAAATAAGCTTCATCTGTACAATGAAAATCCGGTGGCACTCTATAAAGAGCAATCTAAAGTTCTGTCAATCCACTGCATTTGTCTGCAGTGGATTACATAAAACTGCTCTTTAGATAGTTTATTTTAGAGAACCATGTTTATGGAACATCCCTTTAGATTTGAATATAGTACTAAAATTAAAAAGTAGTACCAACTTATATTAAAATTGGCCTTTTTGTGTACTTTTTCAATTCTGCATTAATATATTCCTGACATGTTACAATATACAGAAACAGTGTCATTTCTTTAAAATAGCTGTACCTTTTATCATTGAAAAGCAGTCCATGAGCTCCAGTCAAGTGATTCTAGGCTGAAATGATGTCATCAGTCTGCTGCAGGCAAGAGGAAGTCTCACCTCCGCCAGTGATCAGTTACACATATTCATTACATTAGGTATTAAAGCAGAACTTTGGAGGAAAAACTTCTTAACCCTTGCAGTGGGGCTACCCCCGCACTGCAAGGGTTAAGTGCTTGTGTTAAACTTCACCATTTCCTGAATAACCCTGTAGATGTCACCTGTATGCATGAGGAGCAAAGTGATACTAAGGGGTCTATTCACGAAGCTGCCGAGGGCAGCCGAGTGAATGACCGATCTGAAGTGAGCCGAACACTGTTCGGCTATTCACTTCAGGCTGGTACGGCTAATTTCAGCCGTACGTCGGCTGAAATGAGCCGTACATCGGCTTGCTTCGTGTGGCTTCGGGTCGGCCGAACATGCTCAGCATGTTCGGCCGAAGTGGACTCCCGTTACCGAAGCTAGCCGAAGGATCGGCCGAAGCTACGGCTAGATCCTTCGGCAGCTTCGTGAATAGACCCCTAAGAAACAATATGTATACATATAATTTCCTTGTTATAAAAAAATACAGCAAGTAAAATGGAGTTTTAGTTTCCCCCTTAGTTCTTTGTTGAAAAAGAGATGTGTGAGTTAATGTAATAAAATAATTTGTTAAGCAGGAGAGGTGGGTATAGCTAAAAATGTTGTGCGCGCATAAATATAAAATTTAACATTGAAATGGTGGACAAAATAAAGTTTTTCACTTGGGTTTCAATTTCATGGCCTTGAGTCAGGGTTCCCTAAAAATGATGGGTGGCAGCAGCAAATTACAGTCGAATAGCCGAAGCCGAGGGATCAGCCGGAGCTACGGCTAGATCATTCGGCAGCTTAGTTTCATAGACCCCTTAATGTCACTTTGTTCACCATGCATGCCAGTTACATCTACAGGGCTATTCACTAAAGGGTGAAGAGTTTGGAGAAGGCAGGAGAAGTGGACAATCTAATACAACATAGCTGATTTGGAAAAATTCTCTAATTCAGCTCACTTTCCAGCTATGTTGTACTAGATTGTTCCCTTCTCCTGCCTTCTCCAAACTCTTCACCCTTTTGTGAATAGACCTGTTAGTTTATTTTAATAATATTATTTCCCTTTTAGACATTTGTTAGTCTACTTGATGTACTGTTTTACACAGTTCAGTTCCTGTTTCCCACTGTTCTTATATATATTTTTCTGTTATAATAAAAAAAGTGGTTTATATTGTCTTCAAATGTATTTATAAATGCTATTTTATTGCATTAATATGTAATGTATTTGCGTCCCTATTATTTTAGTGTATTCTACCATATATATGCATTTTATTTATTGCTTCTATAGTCTTAGAAGGTTTATTTGAATATACAATTACAGTATATTTCCTTATACTGTGTTGTGTTCCAAGGCGGGCTGGTGATAGTAGACTTTGATGGACACAGCTGCTCTCAAATGTTTTTTTTTAACTTCTTCTTTCTTCATATAGACGTTTATTTTTTACATTTCCTTAATTTACATTTTCACTTTGCCCCATGTTACTTCACTCACCTGTTTCTCAATTGACTCCCCTGCAGCGTTCAAATTCTCTATATTAGTGCCATTAGTACCTCTCTTCCTCCATGCTGTTGAAGTGGCAAGTGCCCCGACACATGTTAGTGGAGGTCCAGGCTGCATAATTATTGTCCCCCGGGATTATTTACCATTCTGCACACGTTTTTAAGCAGTTTAACCCCTGGTGTGTCTTAGAGTCATTCATGTTTTTTTCTATCAAAGCATGCTATCTGTTTTTTTGCTGGCTCATCCAGAAGTGATAGTTGCTGCATCTGCATTATAACCTGACATTCGATGGGAGTTGATTAACCTACCTGGCTACATGGTTTGCTCAAGTCACTGCTTTGTAAATGCATTTTATTTTTGTTTTGTGATAAAAAGCTGTTTTATCTGAACTATCCAACGTGCTCAGTTTTGTTCTACATGCACTTGAAATAAACAGAATACTGTATATCTGTTACAAAATCCACGTTAACAGGAGAACATTTTAAATATTATGTAAACGCTAAACTGTTAGGATGTTTGCAAGCTATACGTGATATGCATTTATTTGCATTAGTTATTCTGTTTGTGTGTCTGTGAGCTCATTTATAAACATATGGAGGGTATGGATGAGAATGTAATGTGAAGAATAAGAATGGTGGATGAGAAGAACCTAAAATGAAACCATTTTTTTTCAACTTTAGATATGATATCATGAATCTTCAATTTATTGAGCCAAGCCACTACGATTATGTTCTTGTAGGAACATGGCAGGAAGGAAATTTAACAATTTACGACGAAAAGATGCAGATGAATAAAAGTGAAATGGTTCGATCAGTGTGCAGCGATCCTTGTTCTAAAGGACAAATAAAGGTAGGTTGAAAGACAAACAAAAGTCGTAATTGTACAACTATTTAAATTAGACCTGAGAGAATGTTTGCCTTATATTTTACTATAACACTACTTTAACACGGCGCCTAGGAGAGGGTGAACAATCCTTTTGCACTCCTTACTGGATATCCCAGAGATAAACAAGTTGGGTGCTTGAAGTGACAGCGGATGGTGCCGCTCGAAACAGAACTTGATAAAGATGTCAACAGCACACCAAATGAAGTGCCAAACGTCTATTTATTGACGCATATTGACACTTAATCAAGCGCAACGTTTCAGGGGCCGCGCAGGGTCCCCTTCATCAGGCTCAAAAATGACTGTAGGTAAGGGAAAAGCCACGGTCCTTCTGGCCATATCCTGGGTAATGCTGAGTAGCCCAGAAAATGCTCCTGCACTGTGTGTGCTTGATGTGAATTTTTTAGCATTACCAATATCTTGTCCGAAAGTGCAGGTACAAGAGTTGAGGGTAAAGTATGAATATTTATGATTTTTTTTAATAGCAGCTTTTTGGCTTGTAGGGGGGCCACTGTAAATAAGTGAACCTTGCTTGTAGTGCAAGATCTGAATTCAATGACCCTGCTTCCACGCCACCAACCCCCCCGCGCCCGCAGTGTGATCGGACGCATGGCAAAACTTTGCCTGGGTTTAGTTCCACTGCAAACGCCAGCAATAGGGCTTGCTCCGATAACGCTCTGAAACGCACCGCTTTTGGTGTGAACAAGCCCTTAAAGATCACAACAAAGATTACAAAGTCATGTTACAATGGGGTTCTAAGAAAAAGAAAAACACCTGTTGTTCATTTACTCTAGAGGGCTGGCAGCCTACCAAGATTCTATCCATACAACAGAAAAGGGAATAAAATATGATTTTAGAGGCTCTGTTGTGAAATTTCCAAAATACTTAAAGCTAAAGAAGTAAGTGAGAGCTTGTTCTTAAGTGCTTTTACTGCTTGTTCACAATATGTAAATACTTTAGTTTGCATGATCTGGGCACTGGTTCAATAAAACCAAAGATAATTACTACTATTGTTCTCCCATAGCAATAAAAAGCTAAACCCAAAAGCAAAAATCTAATTTATTGTAGCTTACCAATTTTTACACATGGTGACTGATTTAGTTTTCTTTTTTAGTTTAGAGGGTTGAGACAAACTAACAATGACATGGCGTGCTTACAATGGTCGGCTTTTATTCATTTATTTAAAACCTTTATCCCAAAAGTTAAAATAAAACTGCTGCTTAACCTGTTGCCGTCCGCCCGTTGCAAAAAAACGGACGAACGGCGGACTCGCATTTGCGGATTTTTTTTTCTACTTGCGCACGGGCAGAAAAGCCTGTTCACTGCAAAGAGCCGTTACAGGCTGTTTCACATACACACGATCGGCGGCTACATAGGCTCCCGATCGCGCGTATGTGCTGGCTCCGTGACCCCCCTCTCCCCCTCGAGATCCGCCGCCGCCCCCCTCCTGACCCCTCACCTTCAATCCCGGGATCCGCTGCCCCATCTGCGGCCCGGGACCGGCTCGGGAGGGCCTCAGGAGGAAGAAGTGAGGGAGGTCAGCATCTTCCTCCTTGCTGACCTCCCTCCGTGCTGTGAATGCAGAAGTGATGTGTATTACATCACTTCCGCATTCACCTGTCAGTCATCTGGCTGCTATAGCCAGAGAGAAGAAGCTGATGAAGCAGATCTGTGCTTCATAAGCTTCTTTTGGGGTCCCCAGGTGACATTAGGGGTCTTAGAGATCCCTAATGTCTCCATAAAGAGGACCTGTCAGTGTGCCTTTGCTATTATATAGGGGGATTGTTATCCCCCTATGTCAGGGGGAGCCAAACTCCGGCCCTCCAGCTGTGGTGAAACTACAAATCCCATGATGCATCTCTCTCCGGGAGTCATGTCTGTGGCTGAGAATCTTGCAATGCCTCATGGGATTTGTAATTCCACCACAGCTGGAGGGCCCCTGCCCTATGTAATTGCAATGACATTAAGTGTAAAAAAACATAAAAAGAGTAAAAAAAATTAATAAAAGTCACATAAAAAAGTAACCCCCCCCAATGTTTAAGTCCCCCACCCCCACATTTACGCACATATAAACGTAAATACGCGTTTGCGGCGCCACATGTTACATATTGTTGCGAACGTCCGAGTGATAGCAATCATATAGGGCTATCAATCACTGATAACACTAAACTGATGAGCGGTAAAAGCTTTTAAAGCGTCGCCTATGGCCAATTTTAGTGTTATCTGGAATTTGGATTTAATTTGTCCATCTAACACTGCCCTCCCCACAGGTTAAATATGCTGCTGTCCAAGAGGGGCTCTGTTGTTCCTCCGTAGAGTGGAGCCACTGTAAAGGTGCCCATACACCTGCCGATTATCGTACGATAATCGGCAGGTATATGGAAGGCATGCGACCATTTCTACTGTACGGTCGCACTTCTTTTGTCTAAGGAGCATGCTAGAAAACCTGCCGATAATCCTAAGATTTTCAGCAGGTTAGTGGCATGCTTGGAAGACAAATGCCGAACGGGCCGGTGTGCACAAGCGCACACTGCCCGCTCAGGATAGGAATCATCGCAAGCCCTCCCCTCAGCGGGGAGGTCTTGCGATGATCGCAAGTACAATCTGCCTGTCCAAGATGGGCAGATCGAACAAGATTTTAATTACCTTACAAACATCGCACAACGAAAGTCGTGCGATCTTTGTAAGGTGTATGGCCAGCTTAAGACAGGAAGCGTGTTTACTGACCGGATCACCAGGTGAAAATCAAGGTAAAAAATAGCAAAACAAATGAAAGCTAATGCAGCCACCACATTTAGGCCCCTTTCACATGCTCTTATCAGGAGGGGATGCATGCACGGATTCCCTCCTCATTGTAATGGATGTCACTGTTGTGACATCCGTGTCCTTGCAGTTTTTCCCCCATCTTGCGATGGAGGAATAAAGTGACATTGCCAGATCCATGTTAGTGTGGGCAGCCATGTCTAAAATGAGTCTATTTACATCTAGTCAACCCCTGTAGAATGTCCTCTGTTTAGGGTGCCTTTATTTATTGACGGACAACTGAATCTTAAATATGGGTTGGGTTTATTTACAAATAGGGATATACATAAATTCTAATTACACTTAAGGGAAATGGAGAGAGAATTTGGATGGGGAGGTAGAGATAGGGTTTGCGGTTAACATCATCAAGCTATCATCATCTTTCTCTCACTCATTCACACATGCCAGGGCATTTCGCTCTCTAAAGGTGGCCATACACTTTACAACCATCGCAAGACCTTAGTCTTGCGATGGTTGTAAAGTAATTAAAAATCGTACGATCTGCCCATCTTGGACAGGCCGATCGTACTTGGGATCATCGCAAGCCCGCCCCCCTGAGGGGCGGGTTTGAGATGACCGCAATGCTTGACGGGCAGTGTGCGCGTGCGCACACCGGCCCGTTCGGCATTTGTCTCCCGAGCATCATTCTAACCAGCCGAAAATCGTAAGATTTTTGGCTGGTTTTCAAGCATTCTCCTTAGACAAAAGACGTGCGACCTTACAGTAGAAACGGTCGCACGTCTTCATTCACACTGCACGATTCTCGTACGATCGCGGGATTTCCTTAAAGGTGCCCATACACCTTCCCGCGATCGTACGAGAATCGTGCAGTGTATGGGCACCTTTAAGGAAATCCCGCGATCGTACGAGAATCGTGCAGTGTGAATGAAGACGTGCGACCGTTTCTACTGTACGGTCGCACGTCTTTTGTCTAAGGAGCATGCTAGAAAACCAGCCGAAAATCTTATGATTTTCGGCTGGTTAGAATGATGCTCGGGAGACAAATGCTGGCTGGCCATCGATGATCGCAAGTACGATCTGCCTGTCCAAGATGGGCAGATTGTACGTTTTTTAAATTACTTTACAACCATCGCAAGACTACGGTCTTGCGATGGTTGTAAAGTGTATGGGCACCTTTATAGGTACACTCATATGGTAGGTATGATAGGTACACTCATAAAGTCTCAGTGAATCACATTCTTGAGTGTAGGGTCCAGAAAGACTTGTCCATAAGGTCATGAAAGGTTACTACTGTTCCAGCTTGTGAGGTTGTGCATATGATTACACAGAAAGCTCCCTGTATCCATGCTACCAAACAAAACAGGTGTGGGCAGTAAATACCAGCAGCAGGTCTGGATTTTCCCAAGGGATAACAACCCTTAGGCATCCATTTATCCTTTAGTGTCACTTCTCCAAGAGCTCTGTTTGATGATCCTCATTTGCTTATCACAAAGCCACGTGCTGATTGTTCTTTCAGGAGAAAGGGAATAAATAATATATCAAAGCTGTTACATAGATATCAATTTTATGCCAGTGTGAAAGGGGTCTTATGCTCCAGTAAGCTGCAACATATACATTTTTTGTTATTGGTTTAGATACATTTTAATCATTAAATCTAAACAAGGAAAAAAGGCTTTAACACTTCAACTAACCGCTCCCTCCATGGTGCAAATGAGAGAACACCCTCCTAGTTGCTGTTTTTTTATTTGGCTATAACAGAATTAGTTACATAGCAACAAAGAGAAGAATACTTTTTAGCAGCTTGTCAATGGAAATATTTCATAGTGATTGATTTTCATTTCAGAGACAGCTTAGACAGAAGTGAGAAGAATATTCCGCTTAGTGTGAAACCATTTTAACACGTTAAGCCAAAGGCATTGTGGTATTATTTTAGCTATGTGATTCCTACCACTGAAAACCTGGGCATATAGCGGGACAAGTTAAATCAACAAACACAGTTGGACTGTGTGCAAAACATTATGCTACTTCCGCTGTTGGCTTATCAGTCTGATGGCTACGAACAACACATAAAGCGCACACATCATTTCATTACCATGCAAGCATTGCCAACAAGTCCTCCTACTCAATTCCCAGGTAATCTGTGTGATTGAATATGGAATAAATAGTGATTAGTAGTCAACTGCAGGTCGGTGTTTACTACAAACACAAATTAACAAATTTCCCCTTGGAAAAATGTCATTTCCAGACATCTTTAAATAATGTTCTAAATCACACCTCTAATGTATTTTTAATATTAACTAGTCAATATAAACAGTCTACACTGAGATCAATCTAGACCAGTGGCATCCAACCTAAAAGGACTCCAGAGCCACGTTTGTATCCACAAATGGAGTGGAGGGCCACATTTAAATCAACCATTTCTTTTTTTTATGATTTCTAATTCAAAACTATCAGGTAATGGCTATGCATATCATAATAAAACCCTATAAAACACAGTAAACTCCCAGTTATCTGACACCCATGGGGATCGATAGGTGCCGAATAACTGTAGTTTCTGGTTGCTTGAGCGGTAATAGTAGCTCTCAAACAGCCACAACTCACCCCCGTTGTGCCCCAAACCCCCAACCCAACCCCCCACTCACCGCAGCCCCATTCACCTACCGGCTAGCTTCCAGCCAGGAGCATTTTAAAATAGCCAATAGCAGGCTGGCTATTAAAGCCCAGGCCAATGAGCAGAGGAGCGGACCTGAATGAGAAAGTTGTCTCTCAGGTCCGCTCCTCTGCTCAGTGGGCGGGTACAATAGCCAGCCTGCTATTGGCTATTGTTGGCTATTGCTTCCCATTGTTTACATTCTGCTTCCGACCACGGAATCTAGCTGCTGGCCAGCAGCAAGATTTAAACAAATAATTTTGTTAGCAAATAAATACATTTAGTTGCTAACATCAATTTTTAATGTTCACCAACCCACATTTTTTTAGTGTGCATCTAGCCACCAGCAAAACAAAACCTAGGATATTCTGTCCTCAATGTTTGTTTTGCTGGGTGCTTGAATGCCGGATATTGGGGAGTTTACTGTAACAGGAATAACCCCCTTCCAGGAAGCTTCACCCTCAGGGCCCTTTTATTCACCTGCATACTGCCACTGTAATCTCCTCTCACACCATAATGTATGGAAGTGACACGCAGCCTCAGACACAGCTGTGCAAACGTTTCTGGCAAGTGGCCTTCACTTCAATGCAGAAGCAGCAATATTAATTCCCTTTTATTAGCGTCAGTGACAACAATAAACTGGTGTTAATGGCAGCAATTATAACAATCCCCCAGTCTCATCAGTGACTGTGGCAGCCGTATTATCCCCCCCTCTTTACCAGTGGCAGTGACAGCAACAACAACCACCCCTCCATTGGTGTCAGCGACAGGACAGCAGCAATAAAAGCCCTAGTGTGAGTGTCACTTGAAGCAATTAATATCCCCCACATTAGTGTTCAGTGTAAGCAAAAAAAACCTTCTGGCCAGTGTCAGGTTGTTGGAATGCAGAGAGAGTTCCAGTACTCAGCACCTCTGCCCCTCTGCATTGTGTATACTATGTAACTAAGGCCTCATGGGCCCTTCAGTTGGACAGCCCTGATCTAGGCATTCTTTAAAACTGAATTCCAGTATAAGGGCTTGTTTACACCATAAACAGTGCATTCCAGAGCGGTCAGCTGCTGGAACGCACTGTATAGCACCCTGGCCGGCTTCCTTAAAACAAGAGGCATGTGTATTCATACTTGAATTTTGGTGTGCTTTGTATATTTTTTCCAGATTTGTGCAGTAACCCAGCATAACTCGGTCTCTGTGCAGGAGCTTCCTGTAAAAAAGACCAGTCACTACTCCTTTTTTTATGCAGGGTGATTGGTCTTGTATCCGCACCCTACTGTAGTTTTCTGTAGGCGGCCTGTAGTGGGTGGTGCTGGGTCCCCCTGCTCTCTGCACAGGCTATATACACACAGTGATAATGCAACTGCTACTTTCAGCCAATGTAACCAATGTCTTTTTACTGTATATAAAGATCTGTAACAATAAATATTAAAACACTGATTTTTTTATCAGTATTCATCCTAATACTAGTTCGTTTTGCACGGCATTTGTTATGACCGTCAGTTCTTGTTTCCTTGAAAACATTTTCCAACATTATATAGATATATCTAGATAGATATATATATTGTGGCATTGTGAGGCAATACCACGGTGTTAGGTGGCCTCAAAGTCACCCAGGGTTCTCAGCCAGAGGGGCTGAGTGGCTCCAGGAAGACAGTACGTGTACCAGGAGAATATACTCACCCCTATCCTCTGAGCCAGCTTGCTCTTAGACCGCTCCCTGGAGCCTCTCTCCCCCTCTGCTCTAACAGTTTAAGGCCCCTGATTTACACAGTGTATAAGAATTGAGGACACCAAGGGACATTCCAGCACTGCAGGAGAGCAAGAGACAGGCGAGAGAGAGCACTGTCACAGCCGGCCAGCTCAGAGGATCAGCTAAGTATAACTTTGTTATTTTCAACCTTAAGGCAAAAACAGGCCCTTAACCCTTGCAGTGCAGGAGATCCACTGCAAGGGTTAATCAAATGCTTACCAGCGTTTCTGAAAGTAAGATCTAGCCGTAGCTTCGGCTGATCCTTCGGCTAGCTTCGGGCCCAGGACCCCTCCAGTTCAGTAGAACTGAAGGGCTACTGTACGGGCTAACACTATAGCTATAGCCCGTACAGCTCCCGAAGTTGGCCGAGTTACTCAGTCGAGACTATGCTGGCTTTTTTTCTTTTTTTTATTCTGACGGCAGCAGAACCGCCCGGCCAATAGAAAACAGTTGGGCGGAGCTAGCTGTCACTGCTAGCTCCACCCAATCGTTTTCTATTTGGATTTTCTTCTTTTTTTAAATGTTTCTATTCTGCTCGGTACCACAGAGGTACAGAGCAGAATAGCCGAGCCGAATGCCGCGTTCGGCTCACTTCACTTCGGGTCGATTATTCACTTGGCTGCCTACGGCAGTTTTGTGAATAGACCCCTAAATGATTCACCATGAAGCTACCTGAAACTAACTATTTGAGCTGGCCAAACATTAGAGTGCAGTTGGAATTGCAAGCTTAAACCAACATTCAGAAAATAAGTTTCTTATATGAATCAAACATGGAAACACATATTTCAAGTCTAAATGTTTGACAATGAAGGTGGTTAGTGAAGCATGGCCAGGCACATGCAATGTCAGCAAATATCCAAAATTATGCAACACCACCAATCATTGTTCACCTCATAATGGTTAGCTTTGGGTGTCTTGTACAGTCTGTCTGCCAGTGCCCTCTTTAGGCATGAGTATTATTGCCCTAACACAACTTTCCTGTACGTGGCACTAGTAAGCACTCATAGGGTAGCTGGTATATGGAATGACTAACAGTGTCATGGCAGCCATGTGGGCAAGCCTGTCCAGCATTTCCGACTTTGAAAAGTAAAAGAGCAGCATAAGTGCAGACACCCGTAGTTTTTGAAGTGCAGACACCACCTTTTTATTAGCCATAAAACTTCTCTGTGTGTTTCTTTCAGTCTGGTTTCACATTTGTAGTAATTGCGTGACTTCCCTAACTTTGAGGTTATGCCCCACTCCTTGAGCAGCGAACTTACCCCCATGTGTTGCCCTATACAATGAGCATGTTTATTGACATATACTATTTCTAAAGAAGAACTCCAAGTTTTAGAAGAATGAACCCTTGCAGTGGGGCTGCCCACGCACTGCAAGGGTTAACTGCTAATTTTTTTCTAGGTGCCCTTTCTCACTCTGATACTTAGATGAATCCTTTGGTATGCTATAAATCATAAAGGATAATTTGATGGCATATTTAACTTCACAGTTCCCCTCTACATTATGTAGATTTTCTGATTGCATTACTATGCGGAGCTTATGTTGTTATTGATGACTTTATTTACCTATTCTTTCTTTTTCATTTATCAGGTATTATTGTTATTTTGTAACACATTTATGTACCCCGGGGGAAATGACCCATGTACACCATTGCTGAGCATTTTCTATAATTATATTATAGAATATAATAGCAACTGGAACTGATCTTTTTTATTTTTTAGAATATTTTTGAATTAAAAAGTATTCTTACACCTTTTATTTATGAAATACGAAACATGGAATTGTATCTTTCCTTTGGCTCCTAGCATTTTATTTTATAGGGTACACAGCAGGGAAATGACCCGTGTACCCATTGCTGAGCATTTTCTATAAACATATGTTAAGAATATAGAAATAACATAGAACTGATTTTTTTTGGCTTGTTAAAATACTTTTCATTTCAATACTATTCCTTGACACCTTTATATGGGTACTAAGAAACCTATAACCGAGCTTTACCTTTTCTTTGTCTCCAAGCAATTTTTTATAGTGCACACTGCCTGCAGTGCATGTGCAAGCCAGTGTACACTCCTGGCCCATTTCCAGCATCTGTAAGATGCCAAGAATTGAGCCAGGTGCCTGGATGATGTAACATGCGCAGGAGTTACATCATCAGTGGTCGCCCAACAATGGCCGAAGAGGAGGGAAGTGACCCTGTAAGAAGCAGTGAAGAGGATGACAGCAGATGGATTGGCGAGAGACAGCTCTGTACTGTCAGTGCTGGAGGAGGGCAAAGAGAAAGGAGTGCTGTGCATACTTGCGAATTATAGAAAAGAGCAGGAGACCTTCAATTCTGCTATAACAAAAAGTCAAAAACTATAACTACTTCTTATTAACATTGACCTTCTTTATTGAAACTAACCAGGTAAAGACTTTGTAATCATTATTGGTGGATGATGAAGTTTTTGAGGAAGTAACAACAACTTTGTATTAAATGTTTGTTAAAATCTACAACAGGGATGGACAACATTGGCCCTCCGGCTGTTGCGGAACTACAAGTCCCATGAGGCATTGCAAGATTGACAGTTACAGTCATTACTCCCAGAGGTAGAGGCATGTTGGGGCTTGTAGTTAAAGCACAGCTGGAGGGCTGCAGTTGCCCACCCCTTGTCTACAACTTGGGTATACAGAAATGTATGTATAACATGGTTGTTTGTCATCCCAATTTGTCAGAATTGTGAATTCTATTTTCCTTTTTCTTAATCCTGACACAGGTTATAAGGAAAGGTGAAGTTAGCTGCTGTTGGATCTGTACCCCTTGCAAAGAGAATGAGTTTGTACAAGATGAATTTACCTGTACAGCCTGTGATCTGGGCTGGTGGCCCAACCTTGAATTGACAGGTAGGAGGTCTACATTGATATAAAAGGAGATTTATATTTTTACAGGAATGTAAATGTTTCATAATAAGCTCAAATTGGCTGCAACCTATATGAGGAAAACTTGTGGCAGATAAACTTCAACTTACCAAGTTTGTGATCACTCAGTTCCCGATCTTTAGAGCCGACATGTGACACCTGCAGTGTCGCATGCCAGCTCTAAGTATTGGGAAGAGCACATTTTACTCTTCCAATACTTCTCCTGTAAAGTATGTATTGCAGCCCACTAGTCCTTAGATGTGGTGGCTGCATTTGTTTTCTTTTTTTTCACCTGCTGTGCCAATAACATATTTCCTGTCCAAGAATGACAACATTCACTCACTGTACTATATCTATCGAGAAACAGCGTTGTTACCTGAGGCTTCTCTCCTGATTTGGACTGCAAACACCTCTCCATCCGCTCATTTTCATTATATAGGAGAGTTGTTTTGTAGTTTGCAGAAGAGAAAAGCTGATAACATTGTTTGAGATTTCAGGTGAGTGCACAGAAAGTTACAAGACCACTGATAGGGCTATTCACAAAAGGGTGAAGAGTTTGGAGAAGGCAGGAGAAGTGAGCAATCTAGGACAACATAGATGAACTGGAAAGTGAAGAATTTTTCCAAATCAGCTATGTTGTCCTAGATATTCACTTCTCCTGCCTTCTCCAAACTCTTCACCCTTTTGTGAATAACCCTGTGAATTTCTGCCAGCATCCACAGGTATTTTTCTGAACTGCAGCCAGCATATCTTAATGGTGGTCATACATCGTATGGTTTTCGTTTGGAAATCGTACACGAACGGTCTTTCGAACTAAAATCAAACAGTAGATGGTTTTTCATATTGTGATTGAAGTTGTTCGATCGGTCAGGTTGGAACATTTTTCTCTGACCGAACGAAAATCGATGAATCAGTGGGGTTTTTATTCCTCAAAAATCTCTGCAAGAACACAGCACATGCGCAAAATAAAATTATTTCCCTCGTTCATCAAAAATTGGTTGGTTAGTATGGCTAACAAACGATTTCGAAATAGACATTTGACTATGCTTGATTGAACGACGGTTCATGCCAGAAATGAAACTTGTTTATAAATAGCATTTCTACAATCTTTGAATCGTGTTAGACAGTAGAAACAGGCCAGTGCCCAGACTGCAGTTAAGTACAATAAACCCCGAGTTATCTGGCACCCACGGGGATCGATAGATGCCAGATAAATGTAGCGTTTGGTTCCTTGAGAGTTAATAGTAAATTTAGTTGCTAATTAAATTTTTCTGTGTGCACCAAGCAAGTGACAATTTTTTAGTGTGCATCAAGCAACTGACAATGTTTTAGCGTGCATCAAGCCACCAGCAAAAAAACAAAACAAAAAAAGGACATATGTCCTCAATTTGTTTTCCTGGTTGCTTGAGGCCCCATTCACACGTAGCGATTTCGCACATTTTTGCCACGCGAGAAGTCGCCGGCTAATGATATTCAATGGAGCTGTCTTAGCTCCATGTCGCTCGTCGCAGTTGCAAGTCGCTTCTACAGGACCCTTTTTTCGGTGGATTTTGCTTTTTTCTAATGGAGCCCAACGGAGAAGGTCGTGCTAACGTCGCTGGATCGTCGCTGGAACGTCGCCCCGAAAGTCGCGCTATCCCGGCCGCTGCAAAAGGTATGTCGCTACGTGTGAATGGGGCCTGAGAGTGCCGGTTGCTTGAATACCAGATAATTGGGAGTTTACTGTACTAAAATTAGGTCTTGTCCCTGCCCCAGTCTGACATTGGACAATAAAAGAGAAGCAGCAAACTGATGACCTTGTCTGTCTCTCTGCTCACTTTTTCTATCAGCATGTTCCCTTTTTTTGCACATTTGCATGCAGCCAGGGCCGGATTTACTCTCCCTGCCGCCCCAAGGCCAGGTCCTGTGATGCGCCCCCCAGCGAAAATTTTTATTTATTAAAAAATATTTGTAATCAATTTAATTTTTTTTCCACCTTACTTTATTGCTATCACACAGGAAAAAAACAATCCCCTGTGTGATAGCAATTGGAGGTGACAGGTTCTCTTTATTGACCCTGTCACCTCCAATACAGGAGTTCTAGCATAGCACTGTGCTGGAACTCCTGTGACAGGTGAGAGAGAAAGAGCACAGCTTTTCCCCACAATGACACCGCTGCCGCCCCTCTGTGCCCTGCCGCCCCGAGGCCGGGCCTCGGTGGCCTTGTGGGGAATCCGGGCCTGCATGCAGCAAAATGAATTGGCTGCTAGTGCTTCCTCTGCCTCTCCCATTCTGAACTCTGCTGTGCAGGGATTGCAAGAGGCTAAAGCCAAGTCAAATTCAGCTGCTTATAAAAATGCACTTATTTTATTCATTTTTTTAATAAACACATGAATTAGCGGTTTTATATCTGTCCTTGGTACAGCTTTGCATTTTTTACTTTACTTTTTTTAATCCATTTTTTCTTTCTGTAAAAAGACATCAAATGAGGGACTGATTTTAGAGTAGGAAGTGGTCCAGAATAGCCAGAAGGAGCTTCCGCAACACTCAGAAGTGGCTGCTTTTTTGAAAATGCTTGTAGTAGACCTTTTTTTCTTTTTTTTTTGTATTCCACATTATCAAACCATGTCATTTTGATTCCCCTTCTGGATATACCTTGATTTTGAAGATTATTTTAGAGTGGCATACATGGAGCTTTCTTGATAACTTCTTATGTAAGTCGAATAAGACTCACATTGGGATGCTATAAAAACACCATAAGGTAACATCGTAGTAAGTGGCAAGCAGATGGAGATTACCTTCAACAAACTGTTTGCTGAAGTTGTGAATTTAAATCGTACAATAAATATGTAAATGCGGCTTTCCTTCTCTACAACACCATATTGTCTTAATGTATAACGGATGAAAGGGATCTGCCACACAATCCTTATTGTTTCTCCTAAAGTTAGACATCTCGTTGACTGTGAACCTTAAATGAACCTTATGTTTTTCTGCCGGATTGCAGACATACAGCAAGTGTCTACACTCAGTTAATTACATAATGCACATATCTCATTAAATACCTCATAAATAAGTGGTTGAAAATAAAACAGTATACTATTTAGAATTACGATGAATCATTCATAAATATTATATTTTATAACCACCATTTGTACTAGTGTAAAAATGCATAAGCAAATACCATTCCTGCAGTTCCATAATGAAAGACATATTAGTTGTATCTTTGCATGATGCGCCAGAATAATCAGGAAATATAGAAAGACTTGTTTAAAGACGAACTCTGGGGGGACATTATTATTAACCCTTGCAGTGGGGCTACCCCCCGCAGTGAATAGTATATTAGTTGTATCTTTGCCTGATGTGCCAGAATAATCAGGAAATATAGGAAGACTTGTTTAAAGAAGAACTCTGGGGGAACATCATTATTAACCCTTGCAGTGGGAGCTACCCCTGCACTGCAAGAGTTAAGTGCTCGTTTTGGTCTAGGAAGGAAAATAAAGATATATTCAACTGATCCTCTGAGCCGGCTTGCTCTTAGACCGGTCCCTATAGCCTCTCTCCCCCTCTGCTGCAGTGGTCTAAGGTCCTGTAAATCATCATGTTCTATTCACAGTGTATAGAACTTGAGGACACCAAGGGACAGAACATCACTTTAGCAAAGGAGGAGACAGGCAGAAGGGACCATTGTCACAGCCGGCAAGCTCAGAGGATCAGGTGAGTATAGGGTGAGTTTAGAGTGAGTGAGGATAGGGTGAGTGAGGATAGGGTGAGTGAGTTTATTTTCCTCCCCAGACCAAAAGGAGCTGTTAACCCTTCAAGTGCAAGGATAGCCATGCATCAAGGGTTAATAATAATTTTCCCAGGATTCTGCTTTAATATAAATAACACAGTGCAAAGACACATTAAATGTTGGTGGCTATGGGCTACTACCAGTTTTTGCTTGGTGGCCAGTGTTATTAAATTGCTATATTATTGTAAGTAGGTAATAGTAGATGTTGAGTTTGATTGGCTCTGTCTATGGCAGCTCAGATAAGCATAAAGGCGGACATGATTAACTCAGGCATCTAGAGATCACCTAAACACTTTACAGACAAAGTCTTAGTCTGTTTCTTTAAAAAGCACACAAAGCCTTAATAGAAAAGCCTGTTCCATTTCAGCCTGCTGCAGAATGAAACTCTTGCTCTCTGTATGTAAACAGTGGTCTCTCTACAGAGGTCCAGCATGCCCCCTGCTAAATTAGAGCCAGCACTCTCCAGTCAGCAGGAAGCTTGAGATTTGCTGTTTGGAGAGCTCTAGATTTATATCAGCAGGGACTGTGTAGTGCCTCATTTGAGACACTACTGCTTCTATACAGCCAGGATCCCTCTTTGCAGCATGCTGACAGGAAACATGATTTTTTTTACCAAGGCTGTGCCTGCCTTCAAAATAAATTGAACTGTAAGACATTTAACACTTTTTTTTTGATGCACTTAAAATGAAAAATAAGCTGATTACAACTGAAAGTTTAATTAAGCTGTAATAAGCTGTAACTTTGCGCTTCAATAGATGCTTTGCATGTGCTGACATTATTTAGAAACCTAAATGCTGTGTTCTGCACTGTTCTACAGTAAGCATAAAGGTCAGTTACAGACAGGTTAGGGTGATGGCAGCAGTATTCTGAACACATAGAGGACTGCCATCCTCCTGGCATTTTTGCCCCCATTAATTCATTTAAATGGAGCTTTACTTGCTTCGGAGTCCTGAAGCAACCAAACTACATTAATAAACCACAGTGCTGTGCTCTATAAATGTTGTTTTAAAAGCAGCAGTATTCCCACTTTCAGGCCATACTGTTGCTTTATGACTGGGCCCTATAGAGACTTCAAGCAGTGTTTACACAGTTCTCAAAGATAAGCGCCCCCCCCCAGGGGGTTGCATATACAGTATGTACAGTATGTGTAGTGAAATTTCTAATTATGGGCAAACAAAGCACAATTTTAAACAGAAGAAAAAAAAAAAACAGAAACCACATGATATGGTGAATATTAAGAAAACACTGTTATTTCATAGGTAGAAATTAGTATCATATTATATGTTTGCATTAAGGAAAGGATTGGTTTAGCTGAATAGTTGGTAGTCACGGATGATCTTTGCCTTTGAACGTGACCATTTTGCATAGGTTTCTTTTTTCACCTAAAAGGCTGCATGTATTGTAGAAGTATAAATGCCATAATAAAATATTTAAATTAAAATAATTTAATAATCTCACACCAACTATATACACCAAATGATACAGTTTAAATTTTTTAACAAACATCGTTGATGACTAAGTTAGGCTTAGTGACTCATTGACAGTTTGTTGGTCATAAGATAGAAAAACAGTGGTGTAATAAAGGCAGTAAATGTGTGCCCATTTTTGACCAATAAATTGTGTGTTCTCTTAGCCTCATCGAGGAATAGACAAAGTCATTGTCAGGTGTAAATTGGCTATGACTTAGCTGTTATTTAAAGATTACATTTTCTTCTGATCAAATTAATAGATACCATTAATTAATAAGATGAGGGTTTCTTACCTTTCCTTGTCCAGTTGCTTGCAGCATAGCTTGTGCAGTGTTTCTGACACTCTTTGGTGCCCTATTATGAACATTATCACTGTGCAACTAATGACAAAACTCCTAGCAAATTCCTTTCTCAAAGTGATGATGCAACACCAGCTCACTTTTTAACCATCAGCTTGTCCATTGAGTCTTTGCCCAGGCGTGTGTTCTGATCCACCAAGTGATCTGCAGTTGTTCCTGTATTCTGTGTATGGCTCTAGCTGACTGATCTCCTTGTTCCTGACTCTGGCTATTGTTTACGTTCATCCTGCTCTCAGTGTTCCTTGACCTGGTTCGGCTGACCTCTGGCATAGCACTGATGACATCCTTGACTTTCTTTCTCCAATGTTTTTTGCCGTTTATGTTTGTTGTAGTTTTCATTAAATTCCTTTTATTTTTTAAACCTGCACTTCTGGTTTCTTGGTTCCCTAACAGTACGCAGGGGCCATGAATCCTGACAGTGCAGGTTTCCCTATGCTACCCACATTGGTCTCTAGGCTGGATCAACCTGATTACATTATTATTACATAGTATTTATATAGCGCCAACAGTTTGTGCAGCGCTTTACAATGTAAGGAAGACATTACAATTACAGTACAATTATAAATATACATATAATAAAGCCTATTTCCTATTAATTAGAAATAGAAAACATATTAATTAGAAAACATATTACTGTGCATTTCAAGCTAAGGGCGGAGATTATATATAATCTTTATATACAGAGCATTATATATTTTTAGATACATAGGAAACATTACATATTTATATACATAGTTATAGAATCTGAATAATATTCATGGCTACTTAATAAATATTTGTTGGAAATGATGGCTATGTTACATTTTGGCTACTTGTAAAAGATGACAATGTTTTGTTTATTGAGCATCTTGAAACCATTTCTTACAGTAACAATTATGTATTTTGCTCTAACAGGTTGCCAGCCAATAGTTGTCAAATATCTACAGTGGAGTGATATTGAATCTATGATTGCAGTGGCCTTCTCCTGTGTGGGTATCCTTATCACCATGTTCGTCACATTGATCTTCATACTTTACAGAGATACTCCTGTGGTTAAATCTTCCAGTCGAGAACTTTGCTTTATTATACTAGCTGGGATTTTCCTTGGTTACATATGTCCTTTTACACTGATAGCAAAGCCCAACACTACATCCTGTTATCTGCAGCGCCTCCTGGTTGGTCTCTCATCGGCCATGTGCTACTCGGCTTTGGTAACCAAAACCAATCGTATTGCTCGCATACTAGCGGGAAGCAAAAAGAAGATCTGTACTCGAAAACCCCGTTTTATGAGTGCCTGTGCCCAAGTGATCATTGCATCAGTATTGATCAGCCTGCAACTAACAGTGTTAGTCTGTTTAATTATCATGGAGCCTCCAATGCCAATCGTGTCATATCCAAGCATTAAAGAAGTCTACTTGATCTGCAACACCAGTAATTTAGGTCTGGTGGCTCCTCTTGGCTATAATGGACTTCTTATCATGAGCTGCACCTACTATGCATTTAAGACTCGCAATGTTCCAGCTAATTTTAACGAGGCAAAATACATTGCTTTTACAATGTACACTACCTGCATCATCTGGCTAGCATTTGTGCCCATTTACTTTGGGAGCAACTACAAAATCATCACCACTTCCTTTGCTGTCAGTCTTAGTGTTACTGTTGCTTTGGGCTGTATGTTTACTCCCAAGATGTATATTATTATTGCAAAGCCAGAGAGAAATGTCCGGAGTGCTTTTACCACTTCAGATGTCGTACGCATGCATGTTGGTGACGGAAAAACTCCTTGTAGATCAAATACATTTTTTAGCATCTTTAGAAGAAAGAAACCCAGTGCCGGGAATGCAAAGTAAGTACATGGGAAGTTGCCTAACCCACATCATATTCTTTTATTATCCAGGAAATATTTTAAAAAGTGATTTACAAAAAATATATTTTATTCAGTTGTCAGTGAATTTATGTGATATGTGATATAATATGTTTTTTTTCACATCATCGTGCCCAGGAAAACTAAATAGCATATTTGAGATATTTTCACTACTTTGGTAAAACATTTTTTTTTAAATCAGTTAGTTTTTATTAAGAAATTTTGGTATTTTTACAACAGTGTATATAAACAAAGACTTTTTCCAAAAGTACAAAAAAACAAGTGATACAGGTTGAACTTATTGAGAAGTGCAAAGCACTAAAATCACCAAATTTTGTAAAACTTTTAAATAGTACATAGAAGGTAGGTTCATGTTTTAAGAACATCATATTGACTATAGAAAGGAGTTGATCTACTAAAGGCATTTTTGAATAGCACCACAATATACCCCCAGAACGTACTTGCATTACAATGCACAGTGTACTGCAAAACATTTTATTGCTTGAGGTACGTCACAGCCCATTAAATTTGAATAGGGTGCCTAATGCAATCCTCCGGGACATATGCATTGTGGCACAACACATGCATTGTGGCACGGTAATTCCAGTTGTAAACGGTCCCTTAAGGTAAAACTGAATGTAATAAAAACGTGCATTTTTAAAGTAGAATCTTAAAGTGTATTTGAAGTCAAAACTCGTTGTTTTAGTTTTGGATAGATTAGGGAAGAATAAAAAGCCCTGTCAGTTTGTTTTTTGCAGTCTGTATTCCTTTGGAAAGCTTTCTCCTCACTTCATATCACAGAGAAGCAACATGAAGTAAGAGGAAAGTTCTACAAAGTCAATTCCCCATCTTTTGTTGTAACAACTCTACAATATTGGATTTCCCATCACTTTGTGCTTTGATGGGAAGTTTTTATTACAGTCTTGACAAAGACAGCAATAAAAACTTAACAGGAGTTCCAAGTCTTCCCTATGGATCAAAAAATGAAAAATTACGTTTTGGATATACAAACAATTTAAAGTGGAATGATTTCCTCCTATCCTTCTATCTGACAAGGACCTATTCCTCTCTGTTTACCTATTACACCTTCCCCAAAACCTTTAAATAATTGTGTTTGCTGGGTTTTTAAACCCCACAAGTGTGCCAAACCTTTTTTTTGGGGCTTTACTTCTCTTTTGGGTTACAGGAGAACATTTACTAATGTATCCCAGTGACCCAAAGTCAGCATGTATCAGGCTATTGCCTGCTATATGCCAACAGTGCAGAGCCACTCTGCAGTCAGAAGGGATCCTGACAATATTGTCAGGATCCATCTGATGACCTGTTTGACAGCTGGTGCTGCCAATCTAGAGCCAGAGCCAGCTGTGCCTGCCCCTCTCCACTCTTTTCCTCGAATGCGTACTGGAGGAACAGAGAGGTCAGAGGGTAATCCCTGCGGGGAGCAGTGATTGACAGTCAGCTGTTTGCATGTATTTGCACAAGAAGTGGACACATGGCGGGAATTTCTTTAAACTGGAGCAGACAGAATCTGGAGCAGCTGTGCATGGCAACCAATCAGCATCCCTCTTTCATTTTCAAATCTTAACTGAACAAACTGAATAGAGAAGCTGATTGGTTGCCATGCACAGCTTCTCCAGATTTTGTCTGCTCCAGTTTTGATAAATACCCCCCATGGTGTCCCTGTATGCAAATAATTGTATTTCCAGGGCCGCTCATCTGTGCCTAACCACAGGTAATTGCTTCATGTGCAATTACATGCACATGAAGCCCTGGAGCAGCCACAGTTGATTTCACTTACCAGTACCTGCCACAAAAATACGCTAATGAGGGTTGGTCGGATGTCCTCACGAACGAAAAAATCCCATCATGTTAAGCTGTCCCTACATAACCAAACATGATGAGTTATGCTGTCAGTATGTAGCAGAAGGGAATGTCAAATAAATAATTTTGGAGATGTTCTAGGCAGTCTTTTTCTAGTCTCCCATTGCAAGAAAAGTTGGATGACTTGTCAAACAAAGGCTTCTTATTTAAAAACCCCATTTTACTTTTTAAAGGACCACCAACACAAAAAAAAAACGTATTGTATTCTGCTAACTGCGTATGAGAATATCCAGTAAGTTTCTTTCTTTCTTTTTTGTTAAATTCACATCCCTATTTTTATATTTTCCCCACATTGACATGAAGACTAAACTGTCTCACAAAAGTGGTAGTGACAGGGACCAGCAGTGTTGGAGCAATTTTAGCAACTGTGTAAAACCAAAAGCAACCCCTGTTACTATAAATTTTGTTAGACAACCCAAATATCAATGTGAGAACAATATAAATGTGTATGTGAATGTGTACTAAAAAAAAGGGGTTGACTATATGAATACTATCATACAAGTATTAAGCAAAAACAGTTAACAGTTTTTTGACCAGCTGGTCTCTGGGCAAAAACAAAAAACTAGCCCACGCCACCCCTCTGACTAATCTATTCCTTAAAAAAAGCCCTATATTCTTGCCTGAATATTAAGTCACATGACAGTCCAGCTTCTGAGTCTTCCATCTTTAGGTCTGTGGTGTGGGAGGTGCTCATGTTACTTCATGGTGATGTGGAAACTTCCAATTTTCTACAAGTAGGGTCCAACAGCAGGGTCCTAAAGACTTTAAGTGGTGTAATCATTATGCAGACCCAGATATCAGAGGCAGATCACCAGTCTCCACTACTGGAAGAGTTGCTGCAAAGGTTTACATGACTGTAGACTCATGTAAGTTAAAAAAAGAGTGTTATAACACAAGGCCTTTAAATGATAGTTTGGCTTGCCTTTCTTGCAATGGGTGTTGTCCTTTAGTATTTCTTTTAAGAAAATATTTATTAAGCTCTGATCTGGCAGAGTATTTTCTAATTTTGCTTTACCAGTGGAGCTATTTAGTTTTGAGATGATGTTCATAAAACTTGAAAAAACAGCTTTGTACAAATTTATAAAAAAAAGTTCCTTGTGAGTTTTATACATATACCTACATGCAATTTATTTATATATTTTAAAAATAATTCCACAACTTGAAAAGACAGTGCTTGAAATAGTTTTCTCTAGTGCTCCAGGAAATTCTGTCTGCAAGTCCTATATCACTGCTGTGAGGTTCACACATAGTAAAATGCAGTGTTCAAGCAAGTCACTATGAAAGGAAGAAATAAGCAGAGAGGGGAAAAACCTTACAACTATGTACACATTTAAGTCAAGCAGCATAGCGACATTTATAGAAAAAGTATGGTACATAACCTCCATTAAGCAGGCCGACTTGGAGCCCAAAAAGGGTCTTTTGCATTTATCACCCAATTTAATTTTTGTATCTTTCTGGCAACATCTTTAATCAGTTGTGTAACCACCATACTCAAATACTTTTTCTGATATAGAAAATACAATTATTTCCAAATCTTGGAATTGTCACTATTATTGCTAAAAGCAGTGATAAGATTTTTTATTTTTAACTAGCATCTTAATGAAGATGAACGGGTCTACAAATTCATTAGCTTCCTCAGAGGCAAAATTAGCTAACATCACAGTAAGTGCATATGTCCCAGAAAGCATTGTTGGGGCTGCTTAGCTTTGTGTTACTGTAAAATCTGTCTGTTTAAGCTTTTTTTTGACAAGTGTCCCAGATGACTTGGTTTTTGTCTTACATTTGGTGACATGTTTATCTATTATATACACAGTTTTGCATTTGTCACCATTTCAGTTCACATAAATCATTTAATACACATAGCATGTACGCCATTGTTAAATGGAAAAAAAATGTAAATTGTTATTTTCCTAATGCTTGCACCTTAGTGGAAGATGGCTTTTATTGATGTTTTTGCTATTCCAGTCTTTGACCATACAAAAGATTAAACATGTAATCCTGTAAAAAAGAAAATGGGAAACAAGTCTATGATGACCAATCAGGCTTCATCCTTTATTTTCCAGAGCAAAATAAGCAAGTAATTGGTTAATATGGGTAATGATCCAAACTTCTGTTTCTATGTTTTTTTCTCAATTTTTTTATAAGACCCCTTACTACACCTGCATTCATATTTAGTATATTAACTGAATAATGTTACTCAGTAACAGAAACTACAGATATTATTACTTGTTACTTGAGGATTTTACACCACAGGGAGACTTTTGTTCTATATGTGACTGAGTGGCTACAACCTACTAAAAATACAGCTCGAGGCTAAGAATAAAATGCTGCTAAACTGTGGAATTCTCGTGATATCATTGTAGCTAACAAGGGGTGTTTTCGCCACACCTACATGATATTTTCCTGGTGATTTTTTGAGATTCAGGAAAATATTTACAGTCTAAGGAAAGATGATTGGTAAACCATGTTAATACAAGAGCAAACAGCATCATTTAGAAGATTCCATATATACATTAAGGAATAATAAGGCGTGTTTACATCAGTCAGTGGCAGGGAAACAAGGTAGCTTGGACATCCTCTAACTGCCTAGTACACAAAATGAGCACACAAGTTGATTTCATAATTGGTTAATTATCCCAATGTTAAAAGGACAGTTGTACTAGCTCTTACATTTTGCTTCAGGTACGGCTGTGTTTGTGTAGACTGCAAACCCAGCCTTAGTTGAACAAAGTGAGTTCTTCCTTGCCAATACACACTGCACAGGCACACTCAGATGCTTACTCCAGGATAATGATCAAAGTTTTTTTTCTTAACATATGACCTCCCTTTTTGATATCTGATCTGTGATATCTAACTGAATTTATCAAAGTGGATCATGACATTCAAAATAAACTCACATGGTTCACTAAATAAGTGAGGCAAACAATGTTTGTAGTGATTTTAGGTGCAATACAATTGGTGTTTTGTGATTTATAAAGGTTACACTGAAACACAGAATACAAGACCACAAACTTACTGTCCTAGATTTTTTTTAAGTTCTTCCTTCTAAATTGCAGTAGTCCTAAACACATAATCAGTCACCAGAAAGTGCAAGCATCAGA